ACCAGTTTGGTTCAGTGGATAGAGTGCCGGCCTGCGGACTGGAGGGTCCCAGGTTCGATTCTGGTCAAGGGCATGTACCTCGGTTGCGGGCACATCCCCAGTGGGGGGTGTGCAGGAGGCAACTGATTGATGTTTCTCTCTTATCGATGTTTCTGACTCTCTATCCCTCTCCCTTCCTCTCTGTAAAAAATCAATAAAAATATATTTTTTTTAAAAAAAAGGATGGTTTATAAGTAGCTGCTCTGCTCCTGAAGTGAGGTATTCTTAGGACTTTCTTGGGCAGCCCCAGGGCTGACTGAGCACATGAGGTTTGGAAGGCATTGTTTACTAATCTCCCTCTCCAGCTGCCGCCTACTTGGGAGGCGCTGATGACATCATCCAACAGAAGAACTTGCGTCTGTGGCATTCTGAGCGCTTTCTCTGTGCCTCAGGCTCCCAAGGCTGAGGAGCTAGACTTGGCAGAACCCAGTGGAGCTGCCGGAGGCTGTGGCTTTGTCTGAGTTGGACCCTGGACTTTTGAGTGTGCTTGTGGGTAGTTCCAGGAAGAACTGGTGACTCATTGGCTGCAGATAACCCTCCCTCCCTCTGCTGGTCCTTCCCTGCGAGCCCATCCTTGAGTCCATCCTCGCAGCTCGTGCGGCAGGCAGCCTGGCCGCTTCATGGGTCGTGTCGTTTCCACCCCGTCCTCTGCTTTAGCCTCGGTGGTCGCTGGACTTTCGTATTCTCTGCAGGGCGACCAAGTCCAGGTTCTGTCATTCCTGAACATGAGGCCCCTGCTGGGATCATTGCGTTCTTACAGGTCTCAGACACGATTGATTGAGAACCAGAGTCTAGCAGGTTCGAATCCCTGCTCTCCAGGGACGGACGGCCTGCCTCGCAGCCTCCAGCCCGTGGGCTCCGGCTCAGGGGAAGCCTGGGGAGGCTGGCGGGCGGACAGACGAGGGGTCTGCCTCCGAGTTTGGTTTCTCCAGCGGTTCAGTGCTCTCGCTCCTCGTCCCTCTTGGCTTCTCAGGAAGCTGTGGGCTTGGTTTTGTTTTCCTGGTGTCTGGGTTGGACTTGAACTGCAGCTGAGGCTGTTTACCTGGTCTTTCTCCAGGAGCTGCGAGGTGAGGTGCTTTGTTTCCACCTTCCTCGTGAACTGGGAAAGCCCTGGGTCTGAGGGCGTGGCCCGGTGTCCAGGTCTGTCCAGGTCTCGGCCCATCCCCCCCGCTGACGCAGACACTCATGTTGTGATAGGTCCCCAGACGGCGTTCAGACTTTGACCAGCTGCAGGCCAGAGAGGTGCACTCATCCAGCCCAGGCGGTGTCCCTGCGCGTACAAGTCAGGACAGGTGGCCCCGTGCATTGCGAAACCCTGCCTTGGGGAAGAGGAAGAGAAGGAACAGTGGTTTCTGGTTGCCCTTGACTTGTACCCCTCGCTGCCCCCTTCCTGCCTGTGTGAGGCCGCAGAGAGAATCGCCCGGCTGCAGCTTTGGTCAGACCGGTTTCTTGAACCACCGACAGTTGGACAGCGGGAACCTTTTGTCTGTCATTTTAAACACTTTGTCAAATGTTTGTTCTGACACCGAGGGTGGCTTCCAAGAGCGCTCTCGTGGGCGCTTGGTTCTTCTTTTGTACTGAATTCCTGGTACGTGACTAGGCCGTGACTGGGAAGAGGCTGTCTCTCCGAGTCTTCATCTTGCGTGTGCACACCCTCACCCCACCCCCAAGTCCCGTCCTCCCCGGAGGCTGCTTTTGTTGGAGGAAACTGACCTCAGAGGCCAGTGGTGCGTAAATGGTTCTAACGCGCATATTTTGGGTATTGGACACCTGTCCTCACTGGTCTCACCAGACACTGTGACTCCTTCCTCGTTGCTCGAAGGCCTGGACCCAGCTCCCAGCTCCCAGCTCCCAGCTCGGGGGAAGAATGCGTGCTGATGGGGCTGCAGGCCCCTGGCTGTGGGGCATAATCAAGCTTTTTCCTCCTGCTCAGGGCAGGGTGTGGGGTTAAGCAGCATTAGGGTCCAAAAGAACTTGGGTTGCTGGTGTCCTTGTTCAGGGACACGTTGGTACAGTGACACGTGCCAGGAGCTCACCACCCAGCGTGTTCGTGTCAGAGGGGGAAGAATTACCTTCTGAAACAGGACAAGGTGTGGCCACCGGGGGGCACGGGTTCCCATTGCTTGACTCCTAGGGCCTTAGAAGTCCCACGGGTGCCTGTGACACACACAGGGAATCCGCACAACCAGAGATTCCAAGTCTTTTCCAGAGACTGTTGTGCAGGATTGTGGCTTCTCACCTGTGGAGGCTCATTTACACGTTTGGCCGACAGAGTTCTCTTAAGGCAGGACAGTCTTCTCGCACTTGGCACTGGGTCCACGCCCACTGGTCGGTCCTTTGCTTGGAGTGACCGTGGAGCTGGATCCCACTGCGGAGAAGTTGGGGTGGGACTTGTTCCTGGGGACATTGGGTTGTGATTAAGAGTACATGTGACTCGGTACACTCAGGGCACGCATCGTGTGTGTGTGTGTGTGTGTGTGTGTGTGTGCGCGCGCACGAGCGCGCGCACATGAACATTTTGTGAGGGTAAAAACAAAGACTAGACTAGACTAGTTGGCAAATTGAAACCAGCTGTTTTTATTTTGTGGGAGTAGAATGAGGAGCCAAGCCACAACAGGAAAGACGAAGCCACCTCAGCTCAGCCAGGCAAGCACCTTGTGAAATGCAGGGTTCCCAGCCCTCCGCCTCCCTGTTGCTCAGGATCGCAGACCTACAAGAAGCCACAGGGAGGCTCGGGGCCGTGCACCTGCCCAGGGAGCCTCCAGAGTAGATCCCCTTTGAAGAGACGCGCTTGTTTGGGGACTGACTTCCTGTGTCCCTGGAGCAGACACCTAGAATCCCAACGTGGACAGCTTGCCTCCTTCCTGGCTCTGCATTTGGGGCTTTGGAAAGAGCCCCCGGGCGGCCTTTGAATGGTTAGCGGGTCAGTACTCCCTGCGACCAGCCAGCTGGCCCAGGGGAAGAGGTAGGATGCACCCAACTGATGTTCCCACAATTAGCACCCGAAGGCTGTCCCTGTGGGGAAATTTAAGGGCCTTTCCCCCATTTTATTACTGTCACGCTCTCTAACATTTGTTGCCCCAGAGTCCCTGCCACAAAGGGGTTGTTGTGGAGCAGCTGGTTGATGACCAGCCTGGATTTGGCATGGCAGTCCTCCAGGCGCACCTCCGACCCGCTCGGTCCCAGCACAGGCCGGCTTCCTCTGTGCCCACCTGGTTGGCAGGGGTGAGAGGTAGAGAAACAGGTTGCTAAGCAGCCTGGCCTGGACATGGTGCCGGTCCAGTGAACAGCCACAGTGTTCAGGAGGGGGGGGGGGCCTGTCCCACAATCAGTAGGGACTTTGGGGGAAGGGGCTGAGGTCTTCTACTCTGGCCTTAGCGTGGACCATGGCGTGGGAGGTGAGGTGGCCTTCCCGCACCCCCCTTTCTGACACGGGACCTGGGTGTAAGGTTTCCTCGTGAGTGGCGTGCAGAGCTCTGCAGCTGTTTACACGTACCAGCCTTGCCAGAGCCCTTCCTGTCTGAGCTCCTCCCTCACCGACCAGAGCGAAAGCAAATGGGGTCCAGCAACTTCCTGGGAGCCCAGCTTCTGCCACTTTAGCGTGTGGTGGCTCTTTCGCCCCCTGATCTGTGTTCAAGGGGCCAAGTTTCCCCAGAAATGGAGAGATGCGGGGTCCTGGTGATGTACATTTGGGACAGCGCAAGCAAGGGAAGGCCTCCCTCCCCCGGACCGGGCCTGTGCGGAGGCTGGGCCCTTCCTTCTCCAGGTAGACCCAGGTGAGGCGAAGCCTTTACTCGGCGGGAAATGCACAGCAAGGCCAGCAGAAGGTCTGCTCAGAAACCTGTGCTCTTAGGGTTCTGCACACGCCTAGAACAAAGGACCGTGGAAGTAGGTGTGGGGCAGTAGTTTGCATTAAGGATCAGGGAGAGCTTTTCTTTAGAGCAGGGGTCCTCAAACTTTGTAAACAGGGGGCCAGTTCACTGTCCCTCAGACCGTTGGAGGGCCGGACTATAGTTTAAAAAAAAACTATGAACAAATTCCTATGCACACTGCACATATCTTATTTTGAAGTAAAAAAACAAAACGGGCTAACCGGTTTGGCTCAGTGGATGGAGCATCGGCCTGCGAACTGAATGGTCCCAGGTTCGATTCTGGTCAAGGGCATGTACCTTGGTTGCGGGCACATCCCCAGTAGGGAGTGTGCAGGAGGCAGCTGATCGATGTTTCTAACTCTCTATCCCTCTCCCTTCCTCTCTGTAAAAAAATCAATAAAAAATATTTTAAAAAAAACAAACAAAAAACGGGAACAAATACAATATTTGTATTTGCATGTGGCCCGCGGGCTGTAGTTTGACGACCCCTGCTTTAGAGGGAATGTAAAGCCGACGGGAGAGAGCCAGCAGGTGAGCAGGGGAGAGCCAGGAGAAGCACCTCTGTGGTTCGGTCACTGGTCAAAGGCCGCTCCGTGCCTGCTCCTCTCTGGGTTCCCTGGGCTGCCCCCTGTGATGAAATCTCCCCTTTTTTTGCTTAAACTAAAAGTTAGAAAGATCTCTTTGGAGTAGATAGTCTTTTGTGTTTAGTGTTGGTATTTCATGTTATGAAGTAGCCCCCTCTTGCTTCCTCAGTACCAGGTTGGGGCGGCGGTGTCCTGGGGGGACTGGCCAGGGGACGGCATCGGGAGGGTCCTGGTGTGCGGTGACACTGGCTGGCATTTGTTCTCCGTGGTGATGGTATCGGTGCCTGCTGGAGGCTGTGAGGAGAGACTGACGGAGCATCACAGCTGCTCTGATGAAGGAAGAAGGGGGGTCAGGGGTCCCCAAAACCCCTCCCCCCCAAGCATCGCTCGCTCTTAGATGCCTTCACCTTTTTTCCTTCCTCGATTATCCTGAGTGGTCTCTGCATAAAGCAGCTGGGGATCAGGAGCCAGGCTTACCGCCTTGTGTTTCTGTTTGTCTTTGCAGGATAACCCAGAAGTAGAAAAGCGGGATCCGCAGGAATTAGTTGGTAAGTTCCCAGGGAGCCTCGGGACGTATTTCTGAGCCTTGCCGGTGCCTGCGGGCATGGCTCCTCTGCTGTGATCCTCGTCTCCCCTCCTCTCTCTCAGGGCCTTTGGCATTTCCTACGATGTCCGGGTAAGACACCCACAAACAATTCTTCTTTGGAAATCATAGTCATGTGATTTCACTGGCTCCAGCAGTTCTGTAGGGGGGACTCAGGGCCCCATGGAGCCGGGAGCTCATTCCCCTTTTGCCCCGGACCCGTCCTCCATCCCTGTACCCCCTTCTCGCCCTCTGCTGGCATATTCATGTGCTCAAGGAGCAGACACGTGGCCTCTGCTGGCACTTGGCTCTGTCCCCGGGGGAGAGCATGCCTCACAGTCCTGGAGTCCAGGATCCTTTGTGACTTGAGGGCAGGGCAGTTACATTTCTGGAAAATGGCATCGAGGTCTGTTAAACCCCAGCCTCCTCATCCTCTTAGAAGCCCCTCAACTCCTTCAGCGTGGCCTCGACTTTGCAGCTGCTCTCCCAGAGCCAGCAAACCTCACTGAGGGGTTGACGCTGCTCCCTGTGGCAGCCCCTTCCTGCCTGCTGACGCTTCACAAAGCAGGGTGCCTGCTCCCCGGCTGCTGGCCCCCCTCCCCAGGCGGCCTGGGGAGCCCAGGGCTCAGCCTGGAAACACTGCTTCCGGCCGCGCTTCCACCTGTCCTTTCCCTTAACAGGGTCCCTACACCGGGGATGGGAGGTGAGGATCCATTCTGGTTTTCTACTGAAAGAACTGAAAATTATTCCCGTTGGTCTTCTGAGGAAGGATTGGGTAGGAACATGACCGCTCTGGGTGGCCCTTTATTCCTGAATTCTCTGATGGAGTGTGCGTCCTTCAAATCCTGTGAAAGTCAGACCTTTCCTAAGACCTTAGGGTTTGCTCTTTAGAAAATGGCCTCCCCAAGTGGGTGGTCCCTGGTGAGGACAGACTGGAGCCCCTCCCTGCGCCCCATTGTCTTCGCTGTTTACTACCAAGAAACGGCGGCGGGGGGCGGGGGGACGGTCAGAGAGCAGCCCACCCAGGAGCCCGCGGCCACATTGTCCTCCGGTCCCACTGGCAGTGCTCACGCCTGGCAGGCGGCGGAGTGTGTGTGGGCATCAGCCATGTCTGCTCCAACGTCCACGACCAACTTTCACTTTTTCTCTGCTGCCACTTTTAGAAAATAGCTGCGGTATTGAGGTGTGACTTGCCCGGAGTAAGAGTCACCGGTTTAAGGTGTGCCGCCCGGTGCGTTTTGACAGGGGATGCAGTGGTGAGCCCACCGCAGACACCTCACTGACCCCAGAACGTCCCCTGGCCCCTCCCTCAGCCCAGCCAGGCAGAGACCTCTCTTCTCCGTGGTTTTGCTCGTTCAGAAGGTCACACAAGTCAGGGTTTCTCAGCCTCGGCACTGCCGGCATTTGGGGGCTGGATAACTCTTTGCTGTGGGGGCCTGGCCTGTGCCTCGGACAGTGTGTTAGCATCACTGGTCTCTGTGGCCCAGATAGCGATAGCACTGCCCTCCTCCCGGCCCACCTGTGACAGTTAGAAATGTTTCTAGACATCGCCGAACGTCCCTTCTTGTTTTTGTTTGTTTTCATCGTTTTGTTGTCCGCACCATGTCTGTAATCCATTCACCTGCAGAGGACACAGCTCTTTAGCCTCATTGTTTGGTCGCCGTTACCCGTTCTCACTGAGGAGGCACAGCTGAACACAGTGCCTGTGCCCCGCTCCTTTCGTCCATTCTCTGGATGGAGGACTCGGGTTGCTCCCCTGGTGTGAAAGCATTTCATCTGTGTAGGCAGCCCCAGGTTTAATGGAGCAAATGATAGCAGAGGAGCTGACCTGTTGGTCTTTCCAGCTGCTTGAGCACGCGCTCTCCATCCCCTCCAGGTGCCCGCCGATGCCCACGGGCGTGCCTGGCACCGTGGCGCCTGGGTCGTGTTCTTCATGACACTTGTGAGCTAGTGCCTCCTGCCACAGCCCCACAGTACCCGCCAGGCATCCTTTCCTCCCTCGTCACTAAGCCAGCTCACTGGCTGCTCCTGCTGGATTGGCACCTGGCGGCCATGGTGCTGTCGCTGTTTCATGACTTGGGTGTGCACGGGGGTGAATCACACCGAGGGCAGGCTTCTCAGATCCTGAGTGTGGCCGTCGACAGACCCAGGAGCAGCTAGACATGGCTGCCGCTCCCCACCCCCCACCCCCCACCCCCGGTGCTGGGCACGTTTCTCAATGTGTCTCCAGGGGAAATGGAGGCTCTGGCTACACAAACAGCCAATAGGTGGGTTTGATGTCTTCTTTTGATTCACCCTGGGACTTAGGAATGAATCGCTAAAAGGTTGCTCCTGAAATCGAAGGGATAACCTTTTATCTCGTTTCCTGAACGTATCCCTTCATTTGCCAGCTACTTCCTAGGAATTCTCTTGTTCTAACCCAGCATCTCAGAAGGGGCTCTCCCTGCCCCTGCCATACTGTGTACCATTTGAGCCCGAGTGTGGTTGGGTTGCTGTGGCAACACTGTCACACCCTGTTTTTCCTAAAGGCTTTCCTGGAAAATGCCAAAGGGCATTCTTTGTCTCTGTGTCACGTGCACACATGCACTCTCCGCGCCAGGGAAGAGTTCACCCCTCCCTGCCTTGTGCCCACAGCCTGCCCGGGCCCTGCTCGCTCTTGTTGCTCACGCTTTTGACATCGGAGGCCCAGCTCTCCCAGCCATTCCCTCTGGGCTCGGCTCTGCAGCTGTTTGAATCTGGGCCTTCGAACTCCAGTTTCTCCGGGGCTGGGAGGAAGGAGGAAGTCAGAATGAGTTTGAACTTCAGCCAGACCTGGGTGTCACCCTTGCTTCAGGAGGCAGGAGGCAGAGGAAGGTGCTGGGCAAAGAGCAGCACATGGTTCCCTGATGGAAACGGCTCCGAGGCTGCACTGCATCTCGGGGCCACAGCAGGGTGTCACCCAGGCTCGGTCCTCCTGTCCTCGCCCCACATGGCAGCTCTAGTGCTCAGTTCTTGGGGGGTGGGCACCTGGTGCAGGCCCACTGACACGCTGAGAGGTGACCCCTGCCCTGGCTGAGCCCAGTCTCGGTGCTGGCAGTGTGTGCAGGCGTGTTCGGTCACTGCTGAGACTGGTTAAGCCAGGGAGCCCTACCCTCAACTGTATCAGCACCGAGTTCTTTACAGTAACAATGGAAATCAGAGCACCTTGTCTGCTAAGACACATCTTCGCCTTGGAGAAGGGGAGGCTGTGCCAGGCCACCCCCAGGCAGAGCCCGGCACACACAGGGTACCCAGGAAGTGCCTGCTGGGTGTTGCTGGTGCTTTTTGTTCATTCTTTCTCTTTATCCTGCCCCACCCCGTTCCGCCTGCTGTTTTGCTCATTGTATGGTCCTTTTCATGAGAGAGTGTTTTAAAGAGCACAGGCAGACCTCACAACAAACAGTGCATTGTCTGAGTGAGCCAGAGCACGGCTGCAGTCGCAGGGGCGGCCGGGCCGGGGAAAGGAGTGGGGGAGGGGGGGAGACTTGGGGGGCAATGGCAGGTCTCCGAGGGAATGGTCCCTTGGGACTTATGGTTCTCCACTTCAGAATCAGGCCTTTTGTTCCCAAGAATGAGGTGGACCAAAGAGGGTCAATTGGTTTGTTTATTTTTTAAAGACCCTAAGCTAATTTCCAACAGGTAATTTTTTTAATGCCATTTATGCACAAAGCATCTTTGAATGTGTAGAGTCCCCAAATCTAGGGAGCCTTGTGCCCTCTTTATCCTTTATCTTAGGATGAGAAGGGTGGCATTAAGCAACTCTGAATTTCCAGAACCCTGGGAGCTGCTTTAAGGACAACAGCCAGTGGAGGGCTGGAGTCAGCTGGAGCTGGCTCACTGTCAGCCAGTGTGCACATCCCTCCCCGGCCCTGGGCTCAGCTACTGCACATTGGTAGCTTGCCGTTGGCCGTGGCAGAGTTTACACCACGGGAACTGGCAGGTGCTGCAGATAGTGGCTGTTCCCGCCCCACCTCCCATTTACCAGCACCCCCCAGGCATACTCTTTTCCTTGGAAGTTACTGCTGTGGCATGTTGGCATGCATTCTTTACACTCGTACCCTCTGCCTGAGCTTCCCTTCCTCCAAGTGGGCACATGCTGGCTCCTTCTCGTCACATGATCTCAACTCAGATGACACCGCCTGCTGAGAGGCTACTCTGAACACTTCCATAGCGTGTATCCCTCCCTGAAAACACTGTGTGTGCTTTCCCCCCATTGTCCTTGTGTACCCCCATTGCCCATGTGTACCCCCATCCTAACCCCCACCTCCCTACAGAATTTTCCTCTGTTCTCTCAACAGCCTCCTTTTCTGAAAGAGTCCGGAATATGTCACCTGATGAAATCAAGATCCCGCCAGAGCCCCCGGGCAGATGTTCAAATCACCTGCAGGTAGGCACCGAGCTTGACTCTGTGGCCGGGGCAGGTGTCTGGTTTGGTCCGGCTTGAAGAGGCTTCTGTAAAAGAAACACCCAGGTGGGAAGGAGCCTGCAGTCCCGTTACCTCCCTTATCTGCTCTCAGGAGTTGCTGTGTACCCACGCCACCCTCCGCCACCTCACCTGGTGCTGGCTGTGTACCACCCTCTGCCACCTCACCTGGTGCTGCGCTGGCTGGGGCACCCTAGCTTGCCCTCCATGAGGGCCTATGCCTAGACAGAGAAGATAACATACTTTTTCTATGCAACCCAGCTGAGCCAATGAGAAAATTTCAGAAGGAACTTTGTTAAGAAACCAAGGGACCGTCAGAATGTAAAATAAATTATAGAGATGTTAAACACGAGCATTTTTTTATGCCTAAAATTCCCATGCTCATATCCCAAAAATGCCAGCTCACTAGCTGCTTGTCATCCAGTCCCATACAGATCTGAGCTGAGGTTTTGAAACCCCAGGGGCGGGGAGCAATTAGAGCAGTTACCCCTGGGGAGCAGGCCCTCGGGGACAGCTGGGGTCTGGCCTTCTAGCCTCTGAGAGGGTTTCTGGTCCCCCTTCAGGTCCCCTGTGAGAGGGACCTGTGACAAGCAGTAGGCAGACCCCCTCTGCCGGCTGCCTGTGGTGGCCACTGGGCTACCTGCTCCACCTTGGACCCCATAGAGCAGAGGTTCTCAACCTGTGGGTCGCGACCCCTTTGGCGGTCGAATGACCCTTTCACAGGGGTCGCCTAAGACCATCCTGCATATCAGATATTTACATTACGATTCATAACAGTAGCAACATTACAGTTATGAAGTAGCAACGAAAATAATTTTATGGTTGGGTCACAACATGAGGACCTGTATTTAAAGGGCCAGAAGGTTGAGAACCACTGCCATAGAGGCTCCACCTTGGACCCCATAGAGTCTCCTGGAGCCGCGTGCTGCTCCGCAGGCCCATGCACCACCCTCGCGGATGGGTGACTCATGGGACCGGGCTGTGGAATGCAGCGGGCGGGGGCTTCGGCGCAGTGAAGATTCTCTTCCTTTTCCGGAAGTCTCCTCCCTCTGCTGAGTCGGCAACCCCCTGCCCGCCACCCCCAAGCCTAGTGTAACCTCCACACCAGGCAACAAGTCTCAGCCTGTCAGGACAGTCTAGCCATCTGCCAGGCACAGACAGTCAGCCGCTCAGCCTGGAGTTAGGGTATTTCTCCTCTAGGTCCTCCTAGTGGGAGAGAGCGTGACGCAGCACACCTTTCAGTTCACCTGAGATGGGGGAATCGTCTCATGGCCCAGGAGACCCAGAAAAGTCCTCTGTGAGAGAGGGCTGCCCCATAGGCCGGGCCTTCGGTGGGCCTCCCTGCCTGCCTTTGCCATAGCGCTCAGGTCTGTCCCTCCCGGCTCCTCTCTTCCCTGGTGGACAGATTGCAACCCCTCTCACTCGGTGCTTCCGCTGGCCACGCAGAAAGGTGGGCCTTCTGTCACCTCTCCCGACATTCCCAGAGGGCATCCCTTGGACTTCTAACCCCCACCTCCGCTCACAAGTGAGAGCTGAACTTGACCCCTCACGGTGCCTCTTGATGAAGTGGTGGGGACCAGCCATCTGTGAGCCTCCCCACAAAGACATTCTAGGAAGTTTGTGAGGCCAAATCCAAAAAACGCTACTCCTGCCTTCCCCGAAGGACACAGCCTTCTGGTCTCCCGCTGAGGACTTGCCCCGTGTTAACATGTAAAACCAGCCTCCAGCCCCTGCCCATCACCGCTAGTGCCTGAAACTCCTCTCCCGATGATTCAGGAGCTGCCGAACCAGGTGGGGACTCGGCCACGGTCTTCTCTGTGGCTTCTCGGCCTTGACCTTCTTACTACTCTCTCTGCCAGCTATCCAGAGGGAGTCAGGAGAAAGCATGGTGTAAACAGGATGCTCGCGGTTCAAAGGCTGGTCAAAGGCTGGGTGGAGAAAGTGTGGCTGGGACAGGGCTTCAGGCGGCCCTGGATCTCCTGTGTCCGTGTGTCCACACAGCCCACGTGACCACAGACTGGGACTGGGGGCATGGTGGGGTCATAGGGCCCTCTGTTTCTCTTCCGTAGGACAAGATCCAGAAGCTGTATGAGCGGAAGATGAAGGAGGGGATGGATATGAACTACATGATCCAGAGGAAGAAAGAGTTTCGGAACCCCAGGTGAGCTTCCCATGAGCCTGCAGGGTTGGTTGAGTCATTGATGTTGGACCAGGGACTGAGGTGCCCCATGGATGTGGCGAGGAGAGACCCAGCTAGGATCCCACCTGAGCCCAAAGGGACCATCAGCCAGTCTGCGATCCCAGCCGGACATTTACCATTTCAGATCCAGGCTGAACATAAACCAGTGTGTGGACTGGGAGCCAAGAGGCCAGGCCTAGAATGGGGCCTGCCTGGGTTCTCATACCTGCTCTGCCCCTAAAGCATGTGACCTCACAGGGCCTCGTTTCCTCATCCGTGAGTGAGGGGGTTGGACTAGGCCATTGTGGGTTCTTCTCTCACCTCTAACAAGTCCCTGGTTCTGCGTGTAGGTGACAGGCTTTAGGACAGAGCTGTCTGGTCTTACTCTGCCCAGTGCCTGAGCAAGGGGCACACCTGGGAAAGTCGGGTGTGATGGCAGCAGGGACCTGCCCTGGCCTCGGTGTGGGCCTGAGTGTGGTAGCCCCAACCCAGCCACAACTGGAGGTCAGGTGTCCAGGTCAGACCCCAAAACGCAGCCCTCACCTCGACACCACTCAGCCTGGCCCCTGGCTAGCCGTCATCCCGCGAGAGTGGCGGGCAGAAATGACTGGTCATGTCAGGCCCGTGCACATTTCCCTCCCGCCGGGAAGCTTGCTGAGAACAGTCCCGCTGGGTTTTCAGATTTTGCCTGAGCCGAGAAGCTGGGTGGTGGTGATCTCTTAAACTCCGGCGCCCCTGCTCAGGGCCTCATCCTTTTCTCCTTTCAGCATCTACGAGAAGCTGATCCAGTTCTGTGCAATTGATGAGCTCGGCACCAACTACCCGAAGGTACGTCCCGCACGGAGGCTGAGGCTGAGGGAGAGAGAGGGCCCTTACTGACTACAGCGTTAACCTTTCCTTTTTCAGGATATGTTTGACCCCCATGGCTGGTCTGAGGACTCCTATTATGAGGCATTAGGTAGGTAGTCATCTGTCTCTCCGTCTACCTGCACACCCATCTGTCCCTCCATCTGTTCGTCTGTCCGTGCAGTCATTCAGTCACCAGGCAACATGCATTTCAAGGTCTCCTGTTAGTCCCTGCCCACGGAGCTGGTGTACAGCCCTGAACAGGACAGGCCCATCCCTGGCTGAGGAGGCTTATGACACAAAGAAGACCGAGGGTGGAAGGGGGAATTCCAGCAGCGAGTGCTATGCGATGGGGTGCAGGCAGGGCCGCCTGACCAGGCCAGGGGCTGGGCACTGAGGAAACACGTTCAAGCAGAGGTTTGGTGATGCGAGGCCAGCCCAGCAGTAGACGGGTCACAGGCAGGGGGACGGCATGTTGTGAGGCCGCGAGAGCACAGCTTTTTCTCAGGGGGGCCCATTGCGGGGGGACAGGGAGGAATTTCAAAGGGTCCATGCCCTCAAGGGACAGGTCTCAAACCAGCAGCCCATGGACCAGATCCGGCCTGCAGACGGGTTTTGTTTGGCCCACACAAGTCTTGTCTTGCTTTAACTTAAACAGCTGACAACATTCTCCCTGAAAAGCCATAATTCCAGCTTCTCATGGTCCAGGGAAGGTAGCCCATACTGGGCCTTCTGTATTCCCACACGGAGCGGTCAGCTGGACTCGGAGCGTGCGCACCTGGGCCTTTGGGTTTGAGGCCCTGCGGGCCTGGAGGCCACCTTAGTGCATCAAACAAGGTGCAGGGAAGGCAGCCAGTGCTGGACTAAGGTCCCTCCGCCTAAAGTGTGGGAGCTGTCCCAAGGCCACTTTTGTAACAGCTCCTCTTGTCTTTGTAGCCAAAGCCCAGAAGGTTGAAATGGACAAATTGGAAAAAGCCAAAAAGGAGCGAACCAAAGTAAGCGATGGGCAAATGTCCTGGATGCAAGGGGAAGTGTTTGGGGTTTATGGGTCCTGCTGGCGGAGCCCCAAGGGCTCCGGGCTCCTCTCCGGCCCTGACCCCACCCCAGTTCATTGCCTGGTGGTGCTCGGAGCCTTAGGGGTGCCTTGTGGAGGGACAGGCCTTGCTCGCTTTCCAGCCTGTCTCGGCTTGAAGTCACTTTCCAGTTGCTTCCATTTGGTTTCTTGGATCTTGTAGTTGCTGCCTTTGTCCCTCCATCCCCACCCCTGACAGCTGCAGAGCCCTGGTGGCTCTCTCTCTGGGGCCATTGTGTCCTCCCTGGCTGAAGGGAGGCAGGTATTTCCTCCTGAGCGCTCAGGTCGGTGCCTTCCGTGGCCTCCAGAGCTGACCTTGGCGGCCTGCCCCGTGCTTCCCTGTAGGTCCCTCGTCTGATGGCCAGGTGACCCCTCACGTTAGGGCCCTGAGCACCGCTTCTTCCCAAGCAGGATGGGCGCTTTGGGGAAGGGAAATGTGGCTGTGAGACCAGCACCTTATGACCAGAGTCTCCGAGAGAAAGTTCAGGACAAAGCCCCTCCCGCCTTTGGTTTGGCCCGACCCTCCGCAGTTGTGGCCGCCAGGACGCCTCCCTCACCCCCAGGCAGAGGAGCTGCTGGGCCCTCTGGGAGCTGTGCTGGGGGGTCGGGTTTTCTCATTCTTAGCCCTGGATTGAGTTTCCCTTCGCTCTCCTTTCCCTCCCCCTCCCAAGTCCCAGGGTCCCGAGCTTCCTTCCCCTGTGCTGCCGGCACCCCTTCCTCCTGGTGTGAGGAGGGGCCCGGGCATGGGAGGTGGGGCGGCGGGAAGGGGTTCCCCTGGCGTGTGCAGAGCCCGGTGATGCGGGGAGGATCCAGTGTCTGGGGAGTTTTCTTCCGAGTGAAAATCCCCTTCGGGCGCCTCTGGAACACCTCCCCTCCCCCAGTCACGCTGGCGCGGGTCCTCAATGCCTGCTTTGTGTGATGCCCGCCACACGCCTGTCCCCCAGGGGCAGATGGCTGGCACGAAGGTGGGACCAACCTCGTGGCCCAGGTCTCACTCCCTTCCCTCTTCCCCTCCAGATTGAGTTTGTGACCGGCACCAAGAAAGGCACCACGACCAACGCCACAGCCACCACCACCACCACGGCCAGCACAGCTGTTGCAGGTAGAAGGCGCTTGTCTGTTTCCAGCTGCACCACAGATGGAGCGAGGGTTTCCCTGCCTCATGGAGGGAACAGACCCCACAGGGGTGGGGGATCCCCACAGGGACCCGGGCCTCGGCTCCACCTCCCTGTGCTTTTGTCTGAGCCCAGAGATGTCGAGCCAGCCTTGGAGGCCGGGCGGACCCCCGGTTCACGGGCTGCCCCTTGGCTTTCCGTGGCCAGCCCTGAGGCTCCTGTTCCCTACGCTCTGGCCGCTACTTCTGGAAAGGGAGTGGTCTGTTTGCTTTGTCTTGGTCCTGACCTCTCTCTCGCCTTATTTCCAGATGCTCAAAAGAGAAAGAGCAAGTGGGACTCAGCCATCCCAGTGACAACCATAGCCCAGCCCACCATCCTCACCACCACGGCCACCCTGCCAGCTGTCGTCACCGTGACCACCAGTGCCAGTGGCTCCAAGACCACCGTGATCTCTGCCGTGGGCACCATCGTGAAGAAGGCCAAGCAGTGACCCAGGCACCAGCTTGGAGCGGCTCGGACATTCCTTCCCTTCAAGGGAGGAGCCGCTCCAGGGCTTGATAAGAGATGAGACTGCCGCCCAGTGACGATGCCCACGGGAGCTTCCACGTTGTATATTTCAGGACTGGGACCTGCTCCCCAGAGGCCGCCCCGCGAGGATTCTCTGTGTGGCCTTCCAGCCAAAAGGATGTTGCTGCAGAGGCGTGGACTGTGGACAGGGTCCTTGCGCCACCCGGGTCCATTGCCCTATTAAAAGTGCTGTGTTCTTGCATCTTGGCATCTCGGATGCATTGGGCTCTCCTACAGTCTGTTTGCAGGCGAACGCGGAAGCTCAGGTGCCCTCTCCGTCTTCCGGTTGGGGTTACTACTCAGTGTTGAGGGCTGGCCCAGGAAGATGCCGTGGCAGGAGGGGGCCCAGACAGTGGGTGAGGCCGCTGCCCGCTGTCTCGCTTCCAAAACTGAGCCAGTTCTTATCCAGGAGCGGAGGCCGCCGCTCCCTTGGGGGTGATTGAGCTTCCGGACCCCTTGGACACACCCACACTTTAAAGTCAAGCCAGTTCCCAGGAGGCTGGGGTTGATCCCCACCCACACAGGGAGGGGCAAAGCCTCGGCTCCTGGCCGCAGCTGCCTGGGCCCTGGGCACCCCCCCCCAGCGCTGCCCGGTGCGGCAGGGAGATGAATCACCTCCTGCCCTGGCGGGGGCAGCTCATTGTTTACAGGAGAGCCGGGCTCCTGAGAGGATCCTGCCTCCACACCCTTCCTCCGCCTGTTATCTCTGCCCCACAGCAGCCCCGGGCAGCACCAGTGATCGCTGGGCTCCTCTTGGGGCCAAAACAGATTTCCCAGCCGTGGCCAACCCCAAGGGGACGCGTTTGCCTCTCTCGCTCTTTGCCACCTCTCCACGCCCGCGGAAGGGCTGCGCGTCAGGGAAGGAAGCCGGGCCGTGAAGAGCCGCGTTGCTTCCATGGGGCACGCGAAGGCTGGGAAAGGTGCTCCTGAAATGCACCTGATGCTGTTGGGATGAGTCTGCCCCTGCCGTCCCCAGAATAAAATCAAGTCACACTCATCCCCCCCCCACACAGGACTTGGCACTAGAGGACCCGCTCTCCTCCTCTGATAGGACTTTGCAACCCTGGAGAGGAGCTGCTGCCCCATAGTCCCAAGAGGTCTCTTTTTTTAATGGTTATTTTATTTTTTAACTTTTAAATGTTTTTATTGTGTGTTTTTATTGTGTTTTTTTTAAATATATTTCTTTATTGATTTCAGAGAGGAAGGGAGAGGGGAGAGAGAGAAACATCAATGATGAGAGAGAGTCTTTGATTGGCTGCCTCCTGCTTGCCCCCCACTGGGGATCGAGCCCACAACCCAGGCATGTGCCCTTTGCCGGAATCGAACCTGGGACCCTTCAGTCCGCAGGCTGATGCTGTATCCACTGAGCCAAGCCGGCTAGGGCATTTATTGTGTTTTTGGAGAGAGAAACATCAATTAGAAACACTGACCAGTTGCCTCCTGCACACCCCCTCTGGGCGATCGAGCCTGCCACCCAGGCATGTGCCCTGACCGGGAATGGACCCGGCCACCTCTCGATGCATGGGACGACGCTCAACCAACTGAGCCACACCAGCCAGGGCCCAAGAGGGTCTCTTAAGGGGCTTCCTCCCCTGCAGCCTCCATCAGGGGCCCCTGCTGTGGACATGGGGGGCCTCAGAAATAAAAAATGGGACTACCACGTGGCCCCTCAGTCCCACTTGGGGGTATATGTGCAAAAGCAAAGTAGGGTCTGAAGTTCTGTTTGTTCATCTTCACAGTGTCCAAGAGTGAAAGCAACCAGGCTCCACTGAAGGTTGAGGGATGAAAAAATGTGGCCTGTACGTACAAGGGAATATTCTGTCTGAAAGGGAAGGAAATGTGACACATGCTGCAGTTTAGGTGAACCTTGAGGACATGGTGCTCAGTGAAGTAAGCCAGTCACAACGACAAATACTATGATTCCACTTCTATAAGGTAGCTTTACTAAAGGAGTAAAACTCATAAAGATGAAAAATTGAACAGTAACCAGGGACTGGGAGTAGGGGGGCCTGGGGTGCTGTTTAATAAGCATAAAAGTTCTGTTTGCAAGATGAGAAAGTTCTGGAGATCTGTTGCCCAAAAATGTGAATGTGCTTAACCCTATTGAACTGTACATTTAAAAATTAAGATGATAATTTTTGTTATATTTTTTACTATGATTTTTTTAAATTGGGTTGCTTTGTAATAGTAATTAAAATTTTTTTTACCCCTAGCCAGTTTGGCTCAGTGGATACCAAAGGGTCCCGGGTTCGATTCCGATCAATTGCAGGCTCCTCCCCAGCCTGGGCCCTGGTTGGGGCTCGTGCAGGAGGCAACCAATTGATGTGTTTCTTTCACATGGATATTTCTGTCTTTCCCTCTCTCTTCCACTCTCTCTAAAAATCAATGGAAAAATATCCTCGGGTGAGGATTTAAAAAAAATGATTTTTTAACAAAAAAAGAAAAGCAACATTTCCCCAGTATTTTTGGAGGCACATAGTTCATCGCCTGTTGATGAAGGGAACCTCTATTTTTTTTTTTTTAATCAGAAGGATGCCTTCTATTAAATGTATAAACAAAACCACAATTCTGCAACGTCAAAAGAATAGATGATCCAGGCAAGGATCTACAGTGGACGCTAAAACTCTTCGGTGAGAGGTAACAGGAAACCGGGCAGGGTGACAAGGCGCCCTCTACATCAGCGGTCGCCAACTGGTGGTCCGTGAGGTCCGAAAGGTTGGCGACCCCTGCTCTAGATTACTTCTGAATCACAAAGTGTAGAACATATTTCTACAAAGAAGACTCATGGCTGTCACTTCATCATCTCTCACAGTGAGACAGCTGACATGCGCCACCCATTAAAACACGCAGCACAACCTAAGACCACTCTTGCCAAAAATGGTTCCCCTGGCCCTAGCCGGTTTGGCTCAGTGGATAGAGCATTGGCCTGCGGACTGAAGGATCCCGGGTTCAATTCCAGTCAAGGACACATGCCCGGATTGAGGGCTCGATCCCCAGTAGGGGGTGTGCAAAAGGATGTGAACAAATGTAAGCCGATCAATGACTCTCATCATTGAGTTTCTAGCTCCCCTTCTCCCTTCCTCTCTGAAATCTGAAATCAATAATTTATTTTTTAAAAATGTTTCACCTGAATCTAATCAGACTTTCAGACCTAACTTCCAGTTTGCAGGAGGCTAAAAAACAAGCCCAGCGACACCATGAGGAAGCAATCAAATCCAGACAGTGGGGCATTCTGCAGGTCAACTGGCTTATAGAAGGTCAATGGGGGCGGGGGGGGCGGGGGGCGGAG